AAAATTGACTCTCATCATTTTTCCCTAACGCGCCAAAAGAAGTATAACTTCAAAAATCCTAATGTGAAAAACGAACTAAAAAGAAGAGCACAAGTCGACGAAGGAAAACAGTATTACGCAGTCGGAAATATATATGTTTTATCCTTGCTGCGACTCTTGCTACAACACAATGGCTTGCTGCACAAATTGGCACCTGAAATCCGCCATTTTTATTTTTATTACGCTCACGTTGTCAGGACGAGTTTGGAGTCGTTGGCGACTATGAATTGTCGAAATCGGTTAAGTCGTTTATTTATTACGATGGAACATACGATCGGACATACATATGTACACACATACATACGATTCAAACACAACCCTCCTTTAGGTCTCTCCGCAGTCGGGTAGAAATCAATTACCTACTTAAAAGTGTTTAAAAGAAATTATTAACTTTTTTAGTTTTTCCGTTTTCATCGGGTTAAAAATTACAACTGAATAACCAATGAAACACGAACGTGAACACATGAAATGTAAACTCAATAATAATTGATACCTTTTAGTAGAACTGACCATGGTGTCAGGAGTTTGCTCTCATTAAATCACAAAATCTTTGAAGTCGATGCCAGCCAATAATGCTTTAAGATGTGCAAATCTAATAGGTAAATAAATACATACGACAAGGTACGTTTTCTTTCATTTATAATAAACAAAAATTAAATAAAATATAAGTTTATGATACATTTATACATATTGAAATAGATTTGCTTCGCTTTGCATCGGCTGGCATTTGGTGTTTAATAAAGGAAAAAACCCCCGTTCAGTTCTTTTTACTTTTTAGTATCTAGAAGTCGGTTCCTATTCTTTTTGAGGTTTTAGTTTTTCATTGTTATGTAATATAGCAGCAGCAAGATATTTTGTTAGTTTGATGCCTATCATCTCAAATGACCAATGTAATCATGACCAAAATAATGTAATATAATATACTCATAGGTGTTTACCTATAATTTCTAATTAAACTGCCTATCAATTTCGAATATATTATATAGTACCTAATACTTAAAATTTTCACTCATGTTAACAATACACTAGCGGCTCGGGTTCGCTTCGCTAGGGTTCGTCCCTAGGTACGTTTTAAATAGATAAAAATAGTTATTAGCCAACGTTAGCCATATAAATAATTTTTTTTCGTATTTTTTTTCATGTTTTTTCTAATGTTTAAATAGTTATTATGCTATTCAAAAATCATGAAAATCGGTCTAACCATTCTCGAGTTATTTTATAAGTTTATTTTATATATAGATAAGATAAATTAAGTGCTACAAACTAAAAAACTTGCTTTTATTAGTAACACTAAAAATCAGGCTCTATAAAATCCAAGTCTAACGTATTGGGCTTTTCAGATCAGATCAAACCAAATAAACCCAGACTAAAAGTATGTACTAAAAGCCGGTAATATTTTAAGATATGAATATCCAATAGGTAAATATGTGTTTTACTTATCGAAATATATTAGATTTGCTTTGCATCGGCTGGCACCGACTTCGAAAATATCGGATTATCTATCTATTCTAAATGAAAACCCCCGTTTAGTTGTTTTTTTACATTTTAGGGCCTGGAAGTCGGTTTTTATTTTTTTTTATTTTTATTTAATTATTTTATTAATTTATCATTCCTTTTACAAACAGAGAGTTGTGACATACGGGATGAAATCTTTAGCTATTTTTGTTCTGTTACGCAAAAAAAGTATAACTTCTTCTGTGCGTACATAAGTACACAAGCATGTTTTTTATCAAGAAAATGACGATATTGTGATTACGCAAATATTCGTATTTTATCTTAGTTAATAATACGTAACTAAAAACAAAACAGTATTTGGCTAAACAGAACTGTAATTTATATTTAAAAACGTTTACTAAATAGTAGCAAAATTTACAAATATTTTCATTCCAAAAACACGGGAATGACCGCAGGTAATGCTACTTATTTTAATAAAATCATAGAAAAGTCATTTCTGTACAATATTATTTTTTTTATTAAAATTACGTATTTTTAAAAACACAGCGACATCTAGTGATGAATTTCTAAATTACACCTAACTAAATATTTGTCAAGTTATTTTTATGTGTAAAATATCGCTATTGATATACCTACTCGTAATTTATTAACTTATTTCAAGAGAGCTATTTATATTTATCTGACCTGTTTTGTAAGTTACGTACCTTGCTAAAATGTTTATAGTATCGGCGTGGTTTTATTATAACCAGTTTTTGTATTTTTTTTCTCAGAGACGAGATATTATCCCGCAGTAAAAAGTACCTTTTATATTGTCCGGGATAACGAATTATCTCCAAACTAAATTTCATAAAAATCCGTCTAGTGGTTTTATCGTGGTGCGTTCCCAGACAGACAGGAAAAATTCTAAAAACTATAGAGTTGGCCTCTGTACGTATCAATAATAATGACAATTTCAAGATAATAAAAAAATTATGTACAGATTCGGCTCTGATGATGATCTTATAAATAGAACGTGAATATTAGACGTTTGACAGTAACATTAGAAAATTTTCTGTTAACAAAGAAAATCTTAATCTAATGTGATTTTCATTTATTCTTTTAAAAACGTGCGTCATTGTGTTTCAGCTCGCATTAAGTCAATTACATCACAAGGCAGGTGGTCTTTACATTTTGTTCAGTGACATTCTTCAAAGAAACATGAGAAAGAAGTTGTAGACAGGTGTTAACAATACGCTGTTGAAATAAACTGACATTTCACTCTGGGGACATTATTGAAAGATGAGCTGGTATGTAATAGAATATGAGACAAAAGAGTTCTTAACAATATGTGATAAAATAATGTACATGTAGAGAAAACTTACGCGTATTTACAAATTTTTAATAGACATCCTCGACATAATGACGTATAAAAATTTGAGTAAAGTTCTTACTACGGAACTTGACTATGGAAGCATCGATACTCGACTCAGACCTCAATTTAATTGTATTTTATTAACTTTTTGTAATTGTTAAGAAAGCTATCTTAAAATTGGGTACAAATTTCAGCTACAACCTTTTGAGTATATGACAGAAAGACGAAAAAATAATACAGTACTATTAAGGTATAGAATAAAAATCTAAAATAAAAGGCGAACTAAAAAGATGAGAACACGTTGACTAAGAAACATAGTATATTAAGCAGTCGGAGACATACTGTAGCAAGACTCGCAGCTAGTATTAAACCTGTACATACATAGGTATGTTTCCGAATGCATGTTTGTTCATCATCTTGTTCTCATCTTTTTAGTATGGTTTCTACGCAGTCGCGTTTTTTATTTTTATGAATGAAATTTTTATTTACAGCTTTTTAGTTAAAACTAAAAATGTTGTTAATTAAAACTCAAAAAGTGTTAAAAGTTACTCATTTTGAGTTTTATTTAACAATTTATATCGATATATATAATATAATATACTTGTATAATATACGAGTAAGTTGTGTATATTTTTGTAATTGCCTCTATTTTAATGCCCCGCTCGATTAATTCGGACGAAAATTTTTTTTCAAGAAACGCAAGTTGACGCCTAGGATTCGCCATTTTGATTTTTTAATGATATTTATATACCCAATATTTTTCCGGAATAAAAATTAGCGTATGTGCTATTTCAGAATTAAAAAGAAGAATCTATCTCTGTGTCAAATTTCATTCGGGTTCAGGACGGGTGAAATGAACTTCACCCGTCCTGGCGTTATTGAGTAACAAACAGCCATGCAAACAATCAAACATCTAGACTTCCACATTTATAATATTAGTAAGATGATACTCGCGTTATCAAGAAAAATCTAACGACGTATGAATTATCAAAATCGGTTAAGCCGTTTCGAGTAGTTAAGTACGAGTGAACCTAGGGTCGTTGGTTTGGTGGTCTGTCTAGCGCTTAGGTGACCTGCCGCCGGGGCGCCGTAGTAGTTATGCGCAAGCGATCCTGCGGCGTCCCATTTAGGCGGAGGGGAGGGGAATGTCGGGTTTTAGTGGGTAGTACCGGCTCTTCTAGCCGGTGAGCCCCACATCACCACCTGGGGGATCAGGTGGTATGCGTAAATGCATTTCCCGACATAAAAAAAAAAAAGGGTCGACGTACATACATACATACAGTTCAAAAACATAACCCTCCTTTGAGCTTTGCCGCAGTCGGGTAAGAAGGTATTCTGTATAACTATTTAACAATAATGTGTCCTTTGGCATTTTTTTCATGAACAATTTTTCGCTGCATAAAATAGGATTTTAAATTAAAGATTGAAAATGTTAAATTATACCTCAATGTGTTCAATTAACTGTGCAAATTTGTCTAAAAATTAGTATAGTAGTTCAACGACAGTTATTATAGTCTATAATTACTCATAATGTACATGGAGATGGAAAATTTGGAACATAAATAAGTCGGAATTTGTTTGTACAAAAACGTAATAAGTTTATTTTTCTCTAAAAGCTCTTTTTATTTACTAATTAACTGAATACCTCACAGCAAGAGCCATAAGCTGCTAGGCTGTTAATTGAGCAAGGGAAATAGCAACAGTTATAGAGCAACGCTTATAGTGAGGGGGAACGGCTTGGGGGCGAGTGCGGGTGGCGGTCTCGCGAAACGTGAAATAACTAACGAACTTGCTTGTAAATGTACGGGTGATGAATTATTTTAACGCAGAATAAATTGTACGCCCACATATATTGCCATGAAATTGCGAACTGCATTAATTTTGTTTAGATATTGCCGGTGTAGCTTGATAAAATTATAATTCAATAGTAGCGTCGCTTTAGAGAGTCGCTATTTAACGTGCGTAATTGTGCTAATAATTATTCACTTGTTTAACAGAGCCTATGACGACACGTGATCTAATATTTAAATATTATAATTTAAAAATTATGATACTTATATTATAATTTAAGGATGGTTAACAACAGAGACTAACAATAGAAAATCTCTCGTTTGACAGGATTCTTTGGTTGGGGTGTGCAGCAATATTTGAAAGTATGTATTATTTGGAAGCATCTATAGCTGGCGTTACCTACATGGATAATTTTGATTTTGCGCAACGGTACAGAGATGTGAACGAATGCAATCCTTTTTACTGGCACCCGCTGCATTTGCCAGAAGAATGTAAACAAATGTTTGAAAAGTTAATACGCTCCAAACTAGAATCGCTAACGCCATACACGATCGTTAAAGAAATACAAAACCCGGCTGAATTTGTATATTCACCATATCGCTTAAATACACCAGTTTATAGAAATGAATTCATAGAACCATTTGACAAAAAACAGACATTGTCCCCATTTGAAATATTGTTTGAATTATTAAGAAGTGACGTACGTGATTTACCCAGCGCACCGACGCTAGCCGTTTCACCGTATTTTGGAATAATGGCCCTGCACAGACAACCTGTATCATATAAAAGTGTGAATATGATAAAAAAATTAAGTAAAGCCTATGCCGACTCGGGATACTAAGAAATTAAGTATATACGATAAATGACGAAAATCCTACAAAAGGATTGGTAGTTTTTTTTATACCAACATATAATGATAATATAATTAGTAATTTAAAGGTAATAAATAAAATATTTTAGTAGTATTGAAATTCAATAAAGATTACTTATAGTATGGTATTTTAATTACTCATTTGTACATTGTAGAACATCTCTTATAAATAATATTCATTAAAACCCAAAAATGTTACACTCTACATCTGTAAGGAAAAATATCGTAGCTCATTTATGCTATTTTATATTAAATTGAAAATGCTCAAACAAAAAAGTTACAGATATTAGCAGGCATATTGTCTAAAAAATCAATTTACAACATTTTGATATTTCTTAATATGATTATTATCCGGACTACAGCTTTAGTGTTGGTCAGTTAAACATTTTTATTTTTATTTAACAATTTCTTATCCTAAATTACTTTAAAATATATAACTTGTACATATTTTTGTAATCACCTCTTAAAAGTCTGTAATTTGATACCCCACTCGATTTACTCGGAAGAAACAAAATTTCAAAGCACCCAAATTGGCACCTAAGATACGCCATTTTGATTTTTAATGATATTTATATACCCTATGACACTTGTTATATCATGAAAAATCGAATGAGGTATAAATCATCAAAATCGGTTAAGCCGTTTAGTAATTACGAGGGAACACAGCATTGAGCATTCTACACACAAATAAACAAACAACCCCCCCTTTGGACTTCGTCCCAGTCGGATAAAAACAACAAAATGTTATGTAATTAAATATATGTTTTCACTTTGTGAACTCTACTCTCTGCATTTGTATAGATATACCTCGTACAATTAAATCTAAATTGATTAATACTCGTGAAACCCTCCTACAAAATAATTTTGTAACGAAAAACCAAAACTAAATAAGAAAATCATCATAACATCAGTACTATTGAATTCCATTGAGTTTAATAAAGTGAAAAGTTTGCCCATTTTCTATGCTCATTGTTCTATGAAAACAATAAAAGAGACCCTATTGTCCGTACAAAAAAGTCCTTTCATTGAAAAGAATCTACATAGAGAGAAATTTCACTTTAAAATCACAAATACAATCATTGCAATCAACAACTTGACTAATGAAAATTGTAAAAAGTAAATATTCAAATGTTTATAAAATGGTAAGTCTAACACGATAGTAACATAATACATTCTTAGATTTACGCGAATATGCTACATTTTAAATAACACTATCTTTTTGTATTATGAGATACTCTCCCGTGACCATGATTGCAGTAAAGCAATCGAAACGTCGCGTCGGGAATAAAAAATCTAAATAAATCCACGAAAAAATCCGAAACGATAGTAACAATCGACGATGATAAATTAGTATAAAAGAAGCAACAGTACAAGATTTACGTATTAATTTTATTCTTATTTATAAAATTATTTTTCAGTTTATTTTGATACTCATATGGTCAACCGCAAAGCTTTGCTCTGGTAGTTCAACAGGTATAAGTTACATGGATCCCTTAAATCACAAATTGTCTTACAAATACAATTCAAATCTAGAGGATCCTTGCAATCCACTATACTGGTATCCTAAAAATATTCCAGAATATTGTCAATTTAGAATAAATATTGCGCCGAATCGGCATGAACACCCAGTTACATCTATACCATTGCCAGAGCCACCAAGGCCGTCGCTCCCACAACTTCTTCCACCTGTACTACCGATTGCGCCACCCTTAATAATGCCGCCACCACCTCCCTTATTACCAATCATATCTATGTTGCCATCTGCTCCTTTGTTACCAGAATTCAACATCAGACCTAAATCTCCTTATAATATTATGCTCCCGCAAAGCCAAGCTGGTATGGTACCGGGATTACCTGGTATAGTAAGTAGAGATGGTGGTATAAATATTATGCCGTTTTCGGACGCATATGCAGATATGCTTGAAAAACATAAGAATAAGATGATTAGAAAAAAGCTTAGAAAGATTGTGAATAAGTACGACTACTATAAAAATTCGAGAAACTATTGGAATTAACGAAGACGATATAGATTATTATCGATTGTGTGACTGTGAACTATGTAATAAAAGATCTAATGTGATTGAGTTGAATACCTACATCTATTATATACTTATTCTGTTTAATAAAAAATGTTTCTGAGTTATTTGTAATTGGTATATTTTTGAATGTAGGTCCATTGATTGTGCTTTACCTATCCCTGAAACATTTTGCGTATTTTTTTTATTTTAAAAACTTGCTCTCACTACGAAATACGGAGATGAGTGACAACTTTTTAATAGATAGAAATCCATACTAATATTATAAATGTGAAAGTATGTTTGTTTATTTGTTTGTTTGCCCTTCTTTCACGTCGAAACGGAGTGACGGATTGGCGTGATTTTGGATTTTTGTGTGGAGATAGTTGGAGGGCTGGAGAGTAACATAGGCTACTTTTTACCGCGGGAGTTTACCTAATTCCCACGGGAAAACACTTTATAATACAATCCAAAAATAATTTTTGATCAGAATTACTTGAAACTTCATATTAATTGATATTAATGCTCTTCAATAAAATTCATAAATACGTGTTTTAGCATTTTTTTGAAATTCATCATATAAGAGGGTTAAATAACTACCTTTCTAAGGATATTTTGTTGAAAATTTTATTTTCTATGTATTTCACTATAAAATACAAAGAAAAAAATATATTGAAGAATGAAGTCGGGGCGCCTGAATACTAGGAAAATATTTGCGTTTCTAGTTTCACCGTTCAGTAAAAACAAGAGTATGATAAACCGATAAATCGATATGAGTGATCCTATAAGAGTTCCGGTTTTATTTGTAATTTGCAAAGAACCAACGAAGCGACAATTTGTTAAAATTATTTGTACCTATAGAAAAAAATATAAAGTATAGAGAGTATACGAATAGAGTAAGCTACTTTTTTATCTAGGTAAAGTTAGTTTAAATATAAAGTATAATTTGTAGAATATTTTCACTTCTTTACAAGCTTTATTTAACTTGCAATATTTGTTCGGTTCAACTCTTGCAACTGAATATTAAAGCAGTTATACTCAACCGATTGAGCAGAAATTTCGCATACACGTTTAGTTTAGATGACAATGCATGGTTAGATAAGTAACGTCATTCTAAATCCAACATAGCAGCTCCCAATGATGGCGGACTGATGTCTTTTTACCATGATATGGTGAGAAGAATACGAAAAATAGGTACCTAAAAAATAAAAATAAAACTTTAAGTTAAAATAAACCCATTTATTACATTGCAGTATTTATATGATTATAAAAGCTTGATTTAATTTTTTTTTTTAATATTAATTCCACTTATATAAGTGAAAGTACGGAAATTTGATTTAAGACCGCATTATTTTATTTTGTTTATTATTAGTATATTTTATAACCTGAGCCTACTTTTTTGGCTTAAAATATTTTTTTTTGTTAATTTTAACTAAACAATATATTTAAATATAAATACCGCCATCTACGTATATCTGTTTGAACTACTTCGTCTTTGTTACTGATGAGATTGATTTATTATTTTATTGTATTTTATTTATCAAGCCAAATTGAACGAAAATTATGAAATAAGTAGATACTCTACACATGAAAACGAACAATAAGAAGCGCAGGTTTTATTTATTATAAATTATAATATCCTATAGCAACACGTCCGTTTTTTTAAGTATTTAAATAACCTATTTATTAATTAGCTTAATTCGTCAAATTATATTATTATTAACTTACCGTATTTAAAAAACATTAACCTATTAAAATTTACTTCAAACTTAAATAAAATCAGAGAATAATAACCATGGAAAACTAAATATTTTTCTAATTCGGCACGTTCACATATATTTTTAATAAAAAGTTTTATGAAAATATTTAGATAACTCATTTCATGTAATATTTAAATAATATTTCAAACAAATTAGTAGCTTAACGACATATTACTCTTTATTTTATTAAGCAACTAAGCTTAAAAAACTAAAGTTTCGGTTTTTTGTTCGGTGCAAATTAATATACCATAATGGCTAATAGAACTCACCGAAATTAACAAATATGTGAAACATTTACATTCCACAAACAAGCATAGCACAAAATGTCTATATTACGCTAAAATCAAGTTGAAACTCTATAAAGAGAAAAAAAACTCATAAGCAATGCACTCGTAAACAATAACAATCCACCATATTCATTTTGACGTTTAGTAATTTCTTACCAATCAGCATGAGAAGCAGCTTTTCAAGCAATAAAAATTTGATTAGTGCGCATACGTAAAATGCGAAAAATGAATGAAGTCACGTGACAATGTTCAATCCAAACGTATGAATGAAAGACAATTTAGTATGAACACGGTAAGCTAAAATGTGATGCCTTATCATCACATTTCTATGAAGAAAAGCCTAAGCACTTTGGAGCGCAAATACATATTTTTGCGCGTGATTATGATTTTTTTAACGCTTATGATTTTTTGTAGGCATTATAGTATATTAAGAAATTGACGTAGTAATAATAAGATGATTTCTTAATTACTAATTATGTGCATTATTCATATTGAATTATTAAAAAATAAATATTTATAATGAATGATGGATTATTGGATCTGTAAAAGTTAAGACGGTGGGAATCGTCTTGTATGAACCCTTCGCCACTGGTATGTATGTTTCCTGTGGACTCCAAAGTGCTGGAGCGATTTTAATGAACTTTTCAGCTAATCATAGGTAATCATGTGAATTTTGTTAGCGATCGGAAGTTTGTACGCGGGTGAAACCGCGGGTACTGTTAGTATGTATAATAAAATCCCAGACCCTTTCTTAAGCTTGCCACTTAAATAACTTCTATCAAAAATAAAAAAAGTAAATTATTGAGCAAAGTATATTATTCGGTCGCGAAATATTTTGCAGATGTAAATGGATCTGATGGGAATACTATTAGTTGATATTCACGTAGGATAAGGACAATTATTGCATTATAATATTGTAATTTAATATTGTTTTTAAAAAGAGTAACTGTTGAGTGTCTTTTCAGCAGAATTGCCTTTCGAGTCAGTTATAGATTCCTCAGAGATTTACATACTGATATTTAACCCATTTAAACATATAAAATTTAAAACTCAAAAGTATTTGTAAGAGTCTATTTGAATAAAGTATATTTTAATTTGAATTTGATTTGATAACTGGTTACCTTAAGATTAAAAGTAAAATCTTAATTAATACTAAAAAATGCAAATAAAATCCTATTCGCCACTTTAGAAGAAGTTGCTTAGCAATTGTTCATACGCGACAATCCCAACTTAATATTTAGTAAAAATCCTTACCTGCTGCGCAAGACAGTCCGTCCTCGAAGAAGAAATTAGAAAAATATTTTTTTTTCTTTTCTAAATATTTATTTCGAATTGGATCAAAAACAGTAGTATATTTAAGTAAGTGTTTTATTAAATAAGTATAAATCCCTGCCATTATTTAGAAACTAGAAACTATCTGGATAAAGGGATAATTACTTCTTTACATGCCTTACAATACATAATACCTTAATGAGCAGTATTAATTACATTTTTAAAGATAATATATCTTAATTACATCTTACAAATACATAAAGTGGACGGACTTCCTGAAGGCTTGTTTTATATACACAGTACTTAATATAAAACTATTACTAATATGACTATGTCACAATAATGTTTCTACAAATGCTACTAAATTTTACAAACCAATTATTATTTAATATTAAACGTAAGGGGAATGAAACCACATCCTTAATCCTATTTAAGTATCATATCGCCGCAGAATATTAAAAAATTTAATCAACCGCCGAACATTAATAATGAAAGCGTATTTTAAGTTACCAGACACAGTAAACTTCACAATATAATAAACTCCAAATATTACATTTAAGGTAAATTCTCGTGATGTTCTTTTGAATTATATTTTCTAAAATTACAATTAATTAATTAACTTACGGATATAATGCCCTCCAGCAATTGTTATATGAACGTACTATATAATGTGAATATTATTTAATATATAAGAAGATTCCCTACTTAACTATCTTAATATCTAAAAGCTTTGTGCTTTGAAGAGCTTCCAATATAAGTTTTCAAAATTACCGAGTTTTAGCCACTTATTACAAACACCAATCGACTTATGATAAGGGTTAGTTACAAAAAACATTAAAATATTTTCCTTTTGAATACAAGGAAAATATCAAGGGCTTAAGAATAATAAAAAATAATGATATAGAATCCACTGTTATATCGAATATGTATGACGTTACAATATATTTCATGTTCAACCATTTTCGATTGAAAAGCTTCAGCGGTACACGACCACAGAATTTTGAATCAACCAATGAAATGGATATAAAATAATAAATAACTTGTATGTATTTTACTCAATTTAATGTAGACGCATAAACGCGGTTCCAACGAAATTTTAACTTAATTCAAATAAAATTAATATTTTCAAAGTTAAGTAAAAATATTTTAAACGTATAAATAATAATATTAAAGCGTTTAATCAAGTGCTAATAAAAATATTATTTTAAGCTCTATAAATTTTTACTAATAAGATATTTTAAAAAATATCTGAACTTATAAAATAATTGGAATGTATCGTATGGACGGTTTTAAATAACTTATGTCTAAATTAACATTAACAAAAATCTTACTTAATACAAAATATTTATGTGAATTCTCATGATAACTAAAATAATTATCAAGAATGTCGAAAAAATTGCAAGATTCTAGAGAAATAACTTTGTTTTTTATCATTGTTAAAAAAACTATTATATTCAAGGCATATAGATGGCCATAGAGTACCTATAAGTTCTAGATAAATGTCTTATTTAACTCAACTCTTGACGACTAGACTGCTTAATTTTTCAACGTTACGTAATATTTACAGTTTGTCACATGTATTGTAAATGTTTTCTTTTTAAATTATATATACTATATACGTAATAAACTGCCCAGAAATATTTGTTTGTCTTTTAAATGCAGATTATATTTATTAATATATTTTATATTATTTCACTAGTCCATTACCATTTGCGATTATTTCATACTCTGCATATTCACGACAAAGAGCTAGTTTCAGCGGTGCACTAAATCTACTCCATATAATAAAAGTGCAACATGGTCTTTATTAACGCAATAGAACTCAAAACAAAGATTTTTAGACTTTTTGCCTGTTTGTCTGTGCGTTTGTGCGCGCTAATCTCAGAAATGGCTTAACCGATCTGGGTGCGGTTTTCACTAACATATTGTGGTAAGCTTCACTTAATATCTTCTTAGTATTTGTTTTGTTTCAATTAGTTTATAAATAAAAAAGTTATGTCATTTTAAAGAATCAACTAGGGACGAACCCGAGCGAAACGAGGGTGAGTCGCTAGTAGATCTATTAGTAGTAGCTATAAAGCTTCCAAAACTATTTGAAATAAATTTATCAGACAAATTTAAGTTTTACTGGTCATATTCCGTAGTTTACGGTAGATAAATGCATTTAAGACATAGCTATCAAAGTAAGCAACTTATATAATACACAATATTATATAACACAGTATAAAATATCATTTTGATTGACGTTGAATATTGCGAGCGAGTGTTTCGAGAAATCTGCTTTGCGTATTAGTAGGGACAGAGAGTTTCAAATGAAACTTGAATATTTGCACATTCGAAATGCAATATAGAATAACATGAAACATACTTTTCTTCACGTTTAATTAATATTCAGTGCTCTCTGGTATATTATGGTGTATTCTCTGTATCGTCACTACACGTGTTTTATTTACAATTCATCAAAGCAACGATATCAGTTATTTCTGTGAAATTGTATCAAAGGGACTTTATACAGATATATGAAGTAAAATTGGAATAGGAGACATGTACGCCAAATAATATTTGTTTGACAAGACAAGTCCGGATAAACCGATGACAGTTACAAATATTTTCAATTTCTGTAAAATTGAAAAGTGACAACAGATGTCGCAAAAAATGATGTTCAAATAACAAGGACATATGAAGAAACAATACAAGAACATTACAATATTACTTACACAACAAATAAACATAGTACGTATATAATATTAATATCTATTCTAATATTATAAATGCGAAAGTAACTCTGACTGTCTGTTACCTTTTCACGCTTAATCCGCTGAACCGACTTAAATGGGTATAGAGATAGTTTGAGACCCTGGGAAGGATGCTTAATCATGGCATGATGGAATGAAGGGAAATCATCCCTTAAGCGCGTGAAAAGGGGGGTCGAAGGTTGTATGGGGATTAATCATTTCTGAAGTAACTAAAATAAAACCCATCGTACCTATGTGTATATAGTCTATCTATTCCATACTAAGCATCAATACGTACCTTGGAACGAACCCAAGCAAAGCAAGGGTGAGTCGCTAGTGGGAAATAATTGGTAACTGGCTTAGACGAGTATCGTAGTTGCTTGTAACTTATTATTTGTTCTAATGTTTAATTTGATTTGCTTTAACTTATTAATAACGTAGGTTATGACGCTTAGTATAGAATAGATAGACTATAAGTTACATACATAGATATGATGAGTTTTATATCCCTTACTTGAAAAATGATTGATTTCCAATACAAACTTCCACCCCCCCCCTTTTCACCGGATTATTTCCGGGATAAAAACTATCCTATGTTCCTAACAAACAGACAGTTACTTTCGCATTTATAATATTAGTATCAATTATTAATTGCAAAGAGATTTTACAATAATGTGCACACAAAACAAAGCAACATGAGAAAGACATTGAACAAAAATCACTAAAATATAATAAAAAAACTATTTCAGCTATGCTGACTTTATTTTTTAAAGAACTACATTAATTCAAAATATACAAGTTTTAAACAATACATGGTTGCACAAGAATAATTTAATTAACAGTTACTGAGAAACTGATTTATTCACCTATAATACTAATTTATCGGATATGTTATTATTTCATCCAAGAGTTCTGGTCTATTAACACTTCTGGCAATAACTCGAACTCAAACACTTTATAAATAACTGAATATGTTTCTCGCTAATGAGTAGTCTCCGAGATTATTGCTTTGTGAACGAACAACTTTTCACGGTAAATTATTATGGTAGCGGTTCAAAGGAAGCTTTTATAGAGTTATATGTATTCTGAATTGAGGTACTTTGTAATTAATAATAATTGTATTGATCTCCCAGTTGTTACAAACTAATGAAGTAAAAATACATAGAAGTGTATAGAAGAATAGATAAAAATATATATAAGATATATAGAAGAAGTATAAATAGACCAGATCGTTTTGGTTAACTCTTCATCTTATCGTCTTTATTGCTATCGCTGCACAAGTTGCGGAAATTCTTCAAATATTCTAAATTAAAGTATCGCGTTGAAGTAATTCAAAAATGCTTCGAAATATATTGCTACATCTGCAAGTAGTAGGGATCTTCTTTAGTTTCTTGTAACAATGTTCCGTTTAAACTTTTAAAAACCAAAATCGATTTTAACATAAACTTTTTTCAGTTACGTGTCTGGTGTAGATAGTTAATGGATAGATATTTATGTTGTGTGAAATACCGTGTAATTTACTAATTTATACTAGTTTGTGATGTATTGAACTATGTGATGTTTCGTAATTGACTATTGATCCAGTGAAATTGCTTTTGCGAGCGAGCATTTAACAATTAAGTGATTCAATAATATAGTGAATGAATATAATTTCACATATCTTACCACTTAGATAGCAGCGGTCTAATTCTTATTGGACTTATAAATACAAAAAAATAATAACTACAATAAATGTTACAAAATAAGTAGATTGCGTAAAATATTTCAGAAGTACCCTTTAAATTCATAAGAAACCTACAACAGCTAACAACAAATTGTGAAACACTTGTTTGTTTTACTTCTAAAAACCAAACAAGTTTCTAATATAAAGACCTCGAAAGTTTTATTATTGTTAAAATTTTCCATACCAAAATGCGAGTTGCCGCATACGACCATTTTATAACGATAAATTTATTTTAATAATAACTTATGTATTCTCTATTAACGTGACCGTTTCTCCGCCAAACGTCACAACCGGGCCTCAGAATCTATGACTAGTGGCCGGTTGCTCTGGGGGCGTCACGTTCATACCCATATTATCGTATGTATAATCTAAAGTCGTGTCTTCAGCAGGGTGCCTGTTACTTAAGGTGGTGCTTATAGTTTTCGGTGTCGTTGCGCCTTGGCTTTTCTCGGTTTGTGTTCCTCTGTTGTCCAAGTCCCTCACGTTAAGAGGTTGTTGATTTTGACGTTTTGGCGGCTCTGGGTTTCGAATTTCTAGCCTTAAGTCGGGTTTCGGTTTCGGCAATTCAGCGTGCGGGTTATGATGCGTGAGATCCCCCGGATATTGCTTTACGCGATTCTGAAAACAATGTGTATAAATTTTTTAAACCTATTATTTATTTTGTTTGAGTTATTTCATATAAATAGACGAAACATAAGAACCACAAAAATATAAGTTCCAAGCTGAGATCGAACCCATGATTTTCATAGAATGGTAGTCAAAGAGTGTCCCACAGAATTATAGATTTGGTTAAGTGGTTTGGAGGTTAGGTTAATTATACAACTATAATTACTACATATTTCAATAACCATTTTATTTTACATCACCATTGTAATCTTATCGAAGTACAACACCTGTTTCGGTTTTGTCCTACTGAAAGCAAGGCGCTTGGTTAAGGAGCTGTATATTATGTCCTTAGCCTTAAATAAATATATATTTGTTTATACGAGTATGCCATGACTACGGATTGAGAAATTGACTTATAAATTGAATTATATATTTTTAATGGAGTCCTAAAGATATCACGAAAAGGTTATACATACATACCTATGTACCTATGTGTGTTTTATAATTATTTAATTAAATAAAAAAAAGATTTATTAACTAAAATAATAAAGTTTGCTTGTAACTTCATATTAATTATTTTATTATAAGCCCCCAAATTACAATACTTTATTTTCTATATTGTAACTTGTGTCCATTTTAAATAATCCCATTATTATTATTTTTAACATTATAAATGCGAAAGTTAGTCAATCACACCAGAACGGATAAACAGATCTGGATGAAATTTGGCACATAGATTACAGTTTGTAATAGCATAAAGGTTACTTTTTATCCCGGAAAAATGTACGGTTCCCATGGGACAGATTTGTTTTTATTTATCACTAGGAACGAACCCGAGCAAAGCAAGGGAGAGTCACCTGTTAAGTCATATGAATAATTACAGTAGGTAATTTTAAAGCAGCACGGTAATATAAACAAAACAATATTACGGTATTTTCTTGCATCCTAGGTATTTATATTTGCCTGCGGCTTCGCAAGCGTTGTTTATTTATATGTATGTAATTAAACTTTCCGCAATAAAAAGACTACGAGTATAAAAAGCAAAAAGATTTTTTCAAATCCAACTCTTACATCCTGTAATTAATCCTCAAAGTATAAAGATCAAAATCAAAAATAGAACTTTTCATATATTATCATATCTATCTTTAAGTATTAATGACTTTTTGGCCAATTTCAGCCACTAGTCTCAGTGAGACTAGCCGCATGAGATATTATGCTGCACAAGCCTATTCCACATGACCAGCGAGAGGTCAGACGTCGTACCCACGGCTTTGTGTGCTATCGAGACACGGGGGCGTAATACCGCACTCACTTCCTCACTTTTTAACTCAGGGATATTACGAAGAAATTCTCGACAGAAGAACTCAAATAAGTAAACTTGGCTCAACCCGGGACTCGAAACCAGGTCCTCCGGATTTGCATCCGTACTATCTACTCACTAGACTATTAAGGTTACCTTTAAATATATTAGTATTACCTTCGAGGGCTGAAGCTTCTGTTTGATGTAGCGCCAAGAAAGCCTTGCTCTGCATAGTATTATAACGATGAGCAGCAAAACAGCAAGAGCCACACTGCTCACTATGAGAGCGGTTTGAGCTTGTCGCTGGACCGCTTTATAAAAAACATTTAAATTTACTTGATATTTTTTTACAGAAAAACATACAGTTAGAAAAATTTGTTCTATCAATGTGTAAATAATTTCGCAAGCTTCATAATATACATAGAAAATAATATCGCGTCTGGTACATAAATATACTTAACATAAGTATATATTTTTAGTATGGGTAAAAATCGCAGTTGGTACAAAAAAAATAATGCAGCCTCTTAATATGTAGAAGTAATTATATAAAATAGTTTATGTCAAAATTGGTAAGACTGTAGCTATGTGAATACAACGTTAAATGATGCAGACATGAGCGTCTCAGCATCAGGTGGCTGTTACTTAGAAAAAATATTGCATATGTACACTGGTAACATATTTTGAAGATTTGAGAACATGAATAATTTCATATTTTAGTATTTTTATTAGTGTGTATGTTTGTGTGTGTGCGCGCGCGCGTGTATGCATACATTTAAAAGCTCATTCTAATCTTCGCGTGATTATACATCAATATTTACACCTTTTTGTATTTTAGTAATTTTGATGAAACTTTTTATAAATCCTTCATATTTGAAATAAAATGTAAATGACTAAATGTGTTTCTAAGCGCAAAACTTGAGAACAGCTGGACCAATACGGCAATTTTTTTTTTAAATATTCGTATGAAGTCCGAAGAAGGTTTATAAAATTGGAAAAATTACACGGAAAAACGTAAAAACCACATTTTTATTTTTCTCATTCAAACTGTTCCTAACTATTAAGTCTAGGGATGGCGATCTGAGATAGTGCCTTACCCTTGAGCGGGTCGCTATTGGTATTAGCACAGAGTACATAATACTACACTAAGCCACTCTTCGCCAAAAGATTCTACATAAAAGCTCAAGTATTGTTACCAAAAATTGTAGCTTCTAAATAACTTTGTCAAAATACTAAAACTATTTTATCATGACGCACAGTAAACAAGGTAATACCATATATTGTAACACGCTCATAAAAATTATTAAAAAATCTTGTACTTAATTCCAGAAGTTTTACTTTTAGTAGATTTACATTTATTGCAGTAAAATAGCATTATCTTTAAAGTATACAAGGTATGCTAAAATTGAAATGTAATGAATTGTCGTCTATTGAAATTTATACAATTTAAAGTAGGTACACTGTAAACATATAATATTCGCTTGCGTAAAGTATAGGCATGAAATATATATTAGGAAAAAATATAAATTAAATCGTAGAAGATAAGTAATAATATAGAAAATTTTCCATCCATGAATGCTTTACATCACATCGCTATTGCATGAAACTTGATTACACAAATTAAAGTAGTTCAGAAAAATAATATTTAACTATTCTAGTTGAAAGAAAATCTCATCATGTTCAGAAATAGTGTACGCTTCAATTGAATTTATTCAGTAATCAAAATTATATATTATTAGTAAAAGGCGTTTTTTATAAATAGGTATTTCACACATACATTATCACGTATATAACAATCATTTTTATTCGTAATATTACTATGATTCGACAGTATCAGTACTGTTGAGTCATAGTAATATTACAAGTATAAATGAGATACTTACCACTGATATCAGATGGCGGGCGACTCTCTTCTGATCTTAGCATATATCTTAAGTCCAGCAAGTAACCTGGAAAGTTGTACGAAATGTTAATACGACCCTTACACATTTCAAGACACTAAACAAATAACAATATCTAGAAAGAAAATAAATAAGTACATTATCACTAAATGTTATTAAAAAAAACTAAATTATTCAGATGTTAAAAATGTTTTGCGTGATTAGTCGTTAATTAAATGTCTCTGTCTGCAATATCTTATTATTCAAAATCACGGTGCACAAACATAGTTAATAGTACTAATTTCTTATGTGCTTTCTCTAGCCTGTGATGCATATACCATTTATTATATCACTATCACTACATATTATAAAACAAAGTCTCCTACTACGTCTGTTTGTACGACTGGCTAAACGCGATAAACTTAAAAACTACAGTTTTCAGCAATAGATGGAGTGATTCATGGTGATTCATGAGGAAGTTTTAGGTAGGTATATAATTTATTAAGGTTTTGTGTAAATTGGCTGGTATATGACAATGATCGTTGAAGATTTCGGAAAAAAGCCGACTGGAAGCTTTACTGGTGTGCGCCGCGTAAACTATTGCAGGCAGAACCACGAAATGTTCTAATATATTGAAAAAAGTCCGCGAAAGCCTATGTCTATCTTTTAAGGTGGACTCACAATGTTTTTGGTTCTAAAATTGGGTCGAAAATAATGCTGTAGCTGCGAAGGTGTATTTACTCTTTAGGGGCATGGTGTTAACCCTTATATAAATAAATATGTTAAATAACTTGATCATTTTATTTATATTAGATGAATATCTTACAAGATATCATAGAATTAAAATAGATCGCGAAACGTAATTATATCTTAACGAGGACGACGATGTTGTACGCATTTTTTTTGCAATTAATTGGTCTCATAGGTATACGTTTTCTTTTGAGTTTTGCCTGAGGTGCCTAAATAAGTACTTAGGTAGTCAAAAATTCAGTTTTTTTCAGTGTATTTTATGGAAGGTTTTCGATTGCATTGGTTTCATTTCACTCATAGTAGTAGTAGTCAAAGTTAAAGGTAACATTGTTGCGCGTTTTCTTTAGATAGATACTTATTTTAAAATTAATTATTGTAAAAAAGTTTTTTGTAATTACATAACATACTTTATATTATAGATAGAGGTAATTATTATTAGTTATTTGTTATGTTTTTGACGCGCCCGAGAGAGTCGCTAGTACAATATAAATATTATAATAATTATTTTATATAAAGCAAAGAACTCCTTACAAAACAGATATCAAAACACAATGTATCTATGTATGTATATCTAAGTAATTATATACACCTGTAAGTGTACTTAATAATCTGTACAAATAGGTGAAATTGAAAACGTTTAGGATGTTAGAACTTAGAATATAGCTATTCTTACGTTGCGCTCAGATGTACCACCTATGAATATAAACTGCCTTCCGAGCCAGCAGTAACTTCCTAATGGACATTTAATTTTATGTAAAAATTGACAAAACTCTATTTAAATGACTGTATTTTGTTTTCATTTAATATGATACAAAGCCTATTTATACCTTCTTTATTCAAAGCTGCTATATTGAATATTGATGAAGGGATTCTTGCTATTACATGGAAAATATAAAGAAGAGTGATCTAAGCCAATCTAAAAGCTAAAAATAAAATGGTATTCTTACTAGATAGAGAATAGACGAAGAACAGCATATCCGATACTGACCGAGACATTCACTAAAGGTAAATGATTCGGATAAGAGTGACATAGACTACTTTTTAGGGTCATATCAGGGAACGGAAACCGCAGGGCAAAGCAAGTATAAAATATTGTTAATAACAGAAAATGGAGGAATGATAGTGAAATACTGCTATATTTTGAAACAATGAAATACATTTCTTTGATGCACGGATGAAAGCAGCTCAAAATGAATAAAACTTTCCTTAAAGGGACAGACAGCAATGCACAATACTTTACAGAGATAGTTTCAAAACGAAATATCATTCCATATTTAATATACAACATTAAGCTATTATGTTTACGAGTTTTTGTTAAAAGCGTGTGAACTGTGAACGTTTCAAGGAAAGTTTAAATATTCGTATATTTCTCAAAGGAAATGTAAAATACAATATTTAACTGAGCTATCTACTTTTTATTGTTTAAACTGCAGGTGGATGGATACCTGTTTCGTTCTGTTAGTCGACACACACAGCTACGTATTTAATATTGAGATGCATTCACGCGAGTGTTCATATATACGTGTTCCAGTCAGCGAACCATAACTTTATGGGTATTGTTGCAACCCCTACCAATAACCTGTTGACTTTGTTCCGATTGACTCAGTTTTTCGCAACCTTTAATACTGTGTTACTATTTAAAAGATAAAATCAGGAAAGTTAATTAAGTTATTATTACATTAAAGTTAAGTTTTTAAATGAAATGTTAATTTTTTCTCTTTACATCTTTTAAACTCTTATCGATATAAACCTTTTTCTTGTGTCAATTGTCATATTATATGAATACTTCAAATTTCATAATAATGGTGATAATAATTGAAAAATGAGATTGTAATTTCATTTTCCACAGTTTTAGAAATAACTGATTCGGCTCAGTTGAGCTCTGAACTATGTTTTAAACATATATACCTATCATTAACTCAACACTAATTATTATTATTACAAGTAAATTAATCATTAAAATTTTAGCACGAATTAACATGAGAGCTACTGTATCGGGATAATTAATATTAAAAGCTACATTTCAAATTCGCTCCTATTTTATCTTCATGGAGATAGGATTCGAGTTTTATAATTAGGTACATTCCTGTCAAAACTGTTCGAATAGTAGTACGTTATTTTGGTAACAAAATATTTAGGTAGTCTAAATACTTTTACGTATTAATATTGAGTCAGTACAGTGTTTACGTAAAAGTTTTCACTGTTAGTGGAGTGTTTATGAGTACCTTACCTACCGTGCCTGCACTACGTAAAATTTTAAATGAACTGCTTGCTATAATAAACATCTCGATATTTTAATTAGGTAAATGTTCCCACAGCTATTTTATCTAGTGAATTGATTAATTTTCCCCGTATCAAAATCATATTCGCATCGTTAAGTTGTTTACATAATAATAATAATTATGAAACTATATAATATGGAAACTCATTTACGGCGTGAAGTTTACAATGATTCGAAAATGGTCTTAGCAGAGATGTTTGACCTGAAACTTACATTCTTCAACCAGTGTGCGAGTGAGACAACATTAGTCAGAGTAGGTGAAACATATTGTAGGCGGCTTGCGGTCACGAAACTGGTTGTAACCAATGTTGCAGAGCAATAACTAACTCTATGACAATGGACAATTAAGCTCATTTTAGTGTTTGTCTCCTACGAAGGCCCCCATTATTATTGTATGTACATGAATATTAGTCACCATCATAACTTTATATGTATACTCATCTTGGGCAGAAAACTTAACAAAAACGTATAGCGACGTTTTATCATTTTTTTGTCTCAACAATACGAAATATTAGAAAAACCTAACATAAAATATGATTTCAAACTTACAATCAAACTTAAACTATAGACAGTAAAAAGTAGTTGGCATATTATTCTAAACACCCTTTCTTTTGCGAGAAAAGAGCATAGTTAAACTAGCTCATTACTTTTAAATTGATTTTTTAACATTGAATTGTATCGCGATAAAGTAACACAAACAAATACAGTTTAGGAATTCACGCTTATAAACACGTTTCCATTAAAATGCGACCTTTTAGTTAAACCAACCTTGACACTCCTTGATACAGAGGCCGGAATCATAATTGTGGTGTGTCTTGTTGCAGACGATATCGCATGGTGCGCAACGGTTGGTCTCTGGTGAACAGTATTCATCAAGCCGACAGGTGAGCTGGCCACATCTGATACCGTCTAATGTAAGTTGAGCTGAGGTAGCGCCAGCTACAGCCAAAAGACAAGCGAATCGAGACATTTTCCGGCCTGTAAATAATTGAAAATGTGGTTATAGTATCATCTTAAAACAAATTAGAGGAATTAAATTAAAATAACATTACAACAATCCTTTTTTTCTATTAAAATTCGGAAAACAATTTTGCATAAAAGTTATAAATCTTATAATGAATAATTTTATAAGGAAACAATAAATTATAAGGAAACAATAAATTAGATACAAAAAAATATTCATTTATAATTTTTCTATAGGTAATTATTCAATTGTGTAAATCATATGGATAAACGAAAAGGTTTCTCCTATGCTACATTCACTAAGCAATAAACTCTGATTTACAAAAGTATTTATAATGACTGGACTACAAAGTAACTTTTGAGAAATTTTACCGAAATATTTCTTAAGAATATTGAATTCCCATCACATGGGTCTATGACTCATCGCCGCAGGTAGCACGCCAACGGTTCATACACAACGGCGAAAATAAACACTGCCAGATAGATTGTGTTATACAACTACACAGGTGTTTGTCCCCTTTTTCATTACGATGAAGTACTCACTGTCACCAATCATTGCAAACTGGGTGTTTAAATCCTAAGCCGAAGTAGGTAAGTTCGATGTCCGAACAGAAAAGGTAACGTTAACGTAAAATGGCCATATAGAAACAACCTGCCCACTTTAAACATAGTAGCGAAAGCCACCAAAAAAATTTTAAAATAATAAATAGGAAATGCAGAAATGATTACTATCTACATCTACATAGTTCCCCATAAGATACCTATAGAGCATGAAATAATTTCATTCATTAAATACAGAATAAAATTTTATTTCATTTAAAGCTATTTTTGTAGATTTGAATTCTTCATCAAACTGTATTTAAATGAATTTAAATATTATACAAGTACATACATACCTATTTTGTAGTAGAACTTTCGTAGAAATAACGTTACTTTAATAATTCCAGTCTCGAGAAGTCTTTTACTGAATAATTAATTTAATGAGTCATAGCTAGCTCGGACGAGTTAACTTATTATGTTACTGTATGAAAAGAACATTTCTAATTCCAACCTCATATTGCTAAATACTTATTAATATTTATTTATTAAATATATTATTTAAAATTTCAAATTTTCGCATTAATCTAAGAAAGTATTACTTTATTATAGTAAAATTGGATTTTTATATAGAAACGAGCAGAGATTTTATTCATAAATTATCAAATTTATTCATAATAAAATATACCAACTGAAAAAGTATGGAACTCTACGATATTAAGCAATGGCAGCGGACCATTTATATTTATAATAGTAAAACATCTTTTAATAAAAATGTTATAAAAAATACTAGCACACTTGTATTTAAGACACATCACTTTCAAGGAGGGAACATTGATTTGGTGATTTTAACTCTTTTAATCATGGTAATAAATTAAAACAAGGTAAGCACCACAAAACGACTGTACACTACTACAACAGTTGCTAAGCAACGAAGCAAACATTATACCTTTTGTACAAACGTTATTGGTAGCGGAAGGATCATAAGTAGGTAAGTAAGTAAAACAAAATAAAAAATTATATTTACAAAAACCCGGCTGTGTTAAAAGCGAACTAAAAAGAAAAGAACAAGTTGACGAAGGAACATAGTATTATGCAGTCGGAGACATACACACACGTAGCTATTATAAAACACGTACATATATATTTATTTGTGTAAATATTTTTTTATTTACAGCTTTTTAGTTTTGGTCAGTTAGACATTTTTAGTTTTATTTAACAATTTCTTATCCTAGATTAGTTTCAAACATATACGTAAGTTGTAGATATTTTTTTAACCGCCTTTTAAAAACCTGTATTTTGATACACCACTCGATTGATTCGGACGATATTTTTTTTCAAGCAGACAAATTGACGTCTAGGATGCGCCATTTTGATTCTTAATCATATTTATATAACTCATGATACTCGCGTTATCAATACAAATCGAATGACACATGAATCATCAAAATAGGTACACACACACACACACACACACACACACACACACACACACACACACACACACACACACACACACACACACACACACACACACACACACACACACACACACACACACACACACACACACACACGCACGCACGCACGCACACACACACACACACACACGCACGCACACACACACACACACACACACACACACACACACACACACACACACACACACACACACACGCGCACGCACGCACGCACGCACGCACGCACGTACGTAATTTTGAAATTTGGTAACTATAAATGAATGATCGGTCTACAAGAGTAATCTATAATAATAGAAAAATAATTACGTAATACAAAAATGACACATTGATTGAGAATGAATATATATATATATATATATATATATATATATATATATATATATATATAATGAGAACTATATTATAATTTAATTTTATTATCTACAATAAATTTAACTAGTTTTGTAATTGTAATAATGTTAAATAAAAATATATTGTTATGATTAATTCGAACGGAATTCAAATCTATAAGGTACTTAAATGATATCATTAGGAAATCCTAAACGTGACATGTGTACTCACCTTGACAGGCAAGGCATAAGTACACGCTACGCACTAATGTTTAATATAATATATTTTTTTCAATTTTAAGTTAAAATTTTGATGATTTTGTTTATGAATAAGATGATTAGACTTAACTATACTATACTGGTTAGTGTGTCCAATTTATTCAGGAACTAGCGGCTCACCCTAGCTTCCCTCGGGTTCGCCTATAGAAAAGCACAAACAGATCTATCCCACGGGGACCGTTCATTTTTCCGGGATAAAAGTAACCTGTTGTTTGACCCGCAATATAAGGTATCAGCATGCCAAATTTCACTAAATTAAGGCATATGTTGTTTTATTATTATATATGGTGTTTATTAACTATCCCACGGAAACCCTTTCATTTTCCGGGATGAAAATTATCTAAAAGGTTGACCGAGGATATAAGGTACCACCATGCAAAATTGAATTTAAATCAATCCAACCGTTTCGGAGATTAACCCGTACAAACAGACTGTACACACAGAAAAACGAAAAAAATTAAATAATCTGGATTTGTTCTTTTATTTGTTTTATTACATCCCCCTGACTCGGTTTCTAGAATTTTTTTTCTATGTATATACATTCGACCTTTACAGTTTTATTATATGTATAGATATCTACGAGTAATAGACACATAGGTACCAAATGGACACATACCAAATAAACAATGCAAATTCAATATCCAAATACACATTTGAAATGTTCAAATACAAAATGAAATAATAATACCTCAGAGAACCAAAGCTTTCAAAGGATTTCTGACTATCAATATAATCCAAGCTCTGTTTGATACATCGGCTTAGCAAAGATCATTCTCTGGCGTGTCCAATTTTGAATCATAAAGACACGTACACACATTATGAACGACCAGTATATGGTACGCGCAGTTTATGGTAAAGATACCAAGTCTAAAATATAGATACTTCTTCGTCAATACAAAACTATATGTTTCTCAGGTACATTTCTAAACTATTTATTCGATTGTGATGAAATTTTAGTGAAATGAACATTTTGTCACGTACGTGAAGGTACGATGGCGCGTAGAGCGTGCCAGATAATTCATGACTTATTAACTATTAGGTACAATCAGTACGACATTTTGGTATAACGCACTTTGCACCTGGACGAAGTCAGAGTGCGGCCATCATATGTAAATAAAACCTCTCATATACATATATTCGACAACGTATTTCAGGCTCATAGATGGGCAATATAGTGTGTTTACTGTAAAATAACAACGCTGGTAGTAAATAAGGTACTCTCTTTAGCAACTATTGAAGCGTATTTAGCTCTGTGATCATCCGGGCAGGTAAGCAAATAGCATTCAAAACAGTACAGTGCAATATCCGGGTGAGAGCCATGTCCCCAATAATATCCGGCGGTTTCTGGTAAACGACATGTCATTTACTTGTTAACGGTATGGCAATATATAATACCTTTGAAATAATTAATTAATAATAAAAAATCGAACCACATAATTTTTTTTAGATTATATATATTTTCTCAATAAGATACTACAGAGTAAAATAATTCTGAAAGAAATAATAATGAAAATACCAATCACGTACGTCGAAATGTAACTTGCCAAGTATTATTAGTAGGTACGGTTTTTAAATCATAAATACAACATCTAACAGCACATGTAACTAAAATATAGTTTTGAATGTGTTTGTTAGCACAGATTCATAGAGCCTGTACGAGCTCGGGCGGAGAAATCACTCCTGCATACAAATGAGACAAAAACAATAAATACAGCATTGGCATTCCGCGCGCCTTTATATCGCTGCAGCTTTCCTCAACGCTTCAAAGCTATCGTCATAAATGTGTAGTTTTTAAAAATCGAAGTTTATTGTAGCTTTATTCCTTACCAAAATAACTGGCTGACACTAACAACTTTCTCGATTACTTGAAGTAAAAGTTTAAGCAAACGACATTTACATAAATTGCAAGAACATAAAAGATACATGACTAACTTGAATGACATAATATATAATATATTTAGCTGTCAATAACATTGATCTGCAAAGTTACAGAAAAAAAACAAAAGATTTAGAATATGGTCTATCGCCGAAAATACTACTTTATCCAATTAGGTTTTTATAATTACTTCTTAATATTTTTTCAGACTTTTGTATTAACTATTTAATATATTTAATAAATATTTAACTCCCGATTGTTCTGTTGGTCTTAATAACTCTTAATGTGGGTATTGCTTTATGGCAAAATTTTAGAATGCCCCAAGAATGCTCAGGATAGATTTGGGATCATGTTTTCATGCTGGTATTTCTTAGCCCTGAATTACGATCCTTCAGATTTCCATATCAGGAAATGAATATAAAATATCTCCCCTGAGTAGGCATTTTATAAATTTTTCAGCACATAATAAAGTGTATTTTTAAATTTTCTTGCTCATATTCGCTTC